GACTGTGATCATGCGGAGTACATCGGACAGACCAAGCGTCAGTTTGGTACACATTTAAACGAGCAAAGAGTACCTTTGTAAGAGCACGCTTGCAATTCAATTCAATTCAATTCAATTCTTTATTTGTTCACACTGTACTCAATATTTATACGCACATATTATATTATAAAAGAAAACACGAAGTAAAAAAAGAAAATATACAGCCAATGAAGAAATAGGTTCAGAGGTGTGCGGTGTCCAAAGTAGCAGAGCTTTCGAGTTGGACACCGCCATAAGCAAATAATTACGGCATAAAGTTCTGATTACTTTAGCTCTATTGAGTTATTAAAGTATGGAAGAAAACATTAAAATAGTAGTAGCAGCAGTACCAGTAGCAATAATAGTGATAATAATTTAACACAATATTAATAATAATAGTAGTAATAAAGATGATGATAATAATAACAGTAATAGTAAATAATAATAATAATAAGACAACTCAAGCTAATTTAAGGAACTAATAAGTAATACCACTTGTTTCACCAGAGTATCTGGAAAATCAGCTTCAAATTTGATTACTCAAAAGATAATACTTTTATTCTCTCTTGAAAATATTATTCTTTAAATTTGAAGGTACAGATTCCCAGATCTTTGATCTGGAGAATTTAAAAGAAGACTTCCCAACATTAGTTGATACTCTTGGCCTAAAGAAATTGAGATTGTTGGCAAATCTTGTATTATATTTGTGGATATTAGATACCGGAGTCAGGACATTCGAGAAGACATCTGGAATGCTATCAGTATTATTCCATATATTGTGGGTAAAACATGATATTTTAAGCGCATATATACTCTCTAACTTGAGAATTTCAAGAAGTTTGTAATAAGGTCCCACACTCTCCCTTGAATGTGCAAAGAATATACTCCGAAGACATTTATTCTGCTTAGTGCGGATATAATTCAACCTGGAATTGCTGGCACAGCCCCAGACCATGATGCCATAGGACAGATAAGAATATACCGGAGCATAATACAATTGTTTCGTCATATGAAAATCTAAGTAATATCTCAATTTAGCAAGGATTCCAATATTTTAAAAAATTTTACTATTTATATGGTTTATCTGCTGTTCCCAATTAAGGTGCTTATCAATATAGACTCCTAAGTATTTAATGTAATTTTTTTTTGTTCAATGTTGTTTATATTAATACTTGGATTAGATCTGGGTGATGATTCTGGGTGATTATACTTTAACCGCCGACCGGTTAGCTCAGTAGGTAGAGCACGGGACTATCGTGCGGGAGGTCGTGGGTTCGAACCTCGGCCGGACCAACACTCAGGGTCTTTAAATAACTGAGAAGAAAGTGCTGCCTTTGCAACGACATCTGCAAATGGTTAAACTGTCTAGTCTTCTCAGATAAGGACGATAAACCGTAGGTCCCGTCTCACAGCCCTTGTTCGTAAAATGACCTCGTGGGACGTTAAAGAACCCACTGACACTGTTCCCGAAGAGTAGGGAACTTAGTCCCGGTTTTGTGGTCTGGCCTTCGTGTATGTGGTGGGTGAGATCATATATGGACTGATAGCGGCTGCCAGAGGCGCCCTTACAGGCTGACGTCTGATCTCACCCTAGAGAAAGAGTTGTAAACCGCCATGAACCGTATGGGATATGTGCGGTATATAAATCCATTACCACTCACATTACCATTACTAGCATATAGTTAGTCTTTGCAAAGTTTATAGATAGCTTATTTAAAGCACAATACTTATAGATTAGTTTCAGTTCGTGATTCATAACAGATTCAAGGTACTGCAAATTGTCGCTAGAGAAAAACAAATTAGTATCGTCAGCGAAGCTCTACACAGAGAGTTTATCAGTGCAATTAGGTAAATCATTTTCCTAGAGCAGTCCAAGAGATTGTAATTTTACAAGAAGTGTGGCATGATTCAAGCTGTCAAATGCTTTTGATAGATCTAAAAGTACCATAAGCATCAGTATTTTTTTTAATCCATTGCCTCTAACGCTTTATCAGTCATAAGCACTTTCAGGGTTTAACAAGAGTGCATAGCTTTGTTCCCGCTCTGATGTTCTGTGAGACGGTTGTTTTTATTCATGTAAGATGTCAGTTGGTTTAACGCAATTCGCTCACTTTCGATGCCGCTGGAAGCAACGAAACAGGACGGTTGTTGTTTTCGATCTCATGGTCACCGTCCTTAGGTAGAGGCACTACCTCTGATGTTTTTCAGTCAGCTGGAAAAACAGATGACAACAAGGAGCGGTTTACTACCAGTGTGAGAATTGGTAGGATACAAGGCAAGGCATCCTTAATGACCGACATTGGGAATCGATCGAAATCAATCGTGTTGGTTTTGTTACTACAGGTAGCAGATTATTCGAACAGCCGAACCAACCATACAATTGCGTGGGATAATTCTAAAATTATCACCACAAAACGGCGGTATCATCTAAATATATCACCACATCAACGCCTTTGTTTGCAAGGGCGGCACATCAACTCCGCCCTCGCTCCTTTGAACCGGGATGATGGCGGCCTTTTACTTAACATCTACTTGCACCTTATTAAAAGAAAACGACGTTAATTAGTGAGCATATAAGAAGACCCTTGTTGCTGAGTTAGATCACCTCTGATCAAGGCACTAGGGAGGAGTGTTGAAACGTTGGGCCGTGGACTTTTCAAGTTACCTCGATTGAAATTTACGTTCATTAAATCTTCAAGAGATACAAGAGCACGTGATCAATGCACGACTAAAAAGACCTGTGATCTAGTGCCGTCTTTGTTTGTTTGTTTGTTTGTTTTGCCGTTTTGCCGATTGTTGAAGGAAAGTCTAAATATTACGGTGGCCCATAAGTCCAAAACACAACTACTAATTCTCTAAACACAACAACAAATTTGTTAAACACAAAATGCAGTTAACTAAAAACAACAACAAATTCGCTAAACACGAATCGAAATCCACTAATTGCTAAACACAAAACACAACGAAGTCGTCGAGACACAATAACATTCAAACGTGACGTAATTCATGTCACTTACTCAGAGGACAAACCCGTCATGCCTTAACCGCTGACACAAGCAGAAGCATTCATTGTCACGTTCTGTCACGTTTGCTACCTTTCGCCGTGTTCACCTAGTTCACCTGGGCCGAGTTGCTCGAAGCAAGGTTAGTGTTAACCCGGGACAAATACCATGACAACCTATAGGTTTTAATAGGACTTAACCCGGGGTTAGCGCTAAACCTGCTTCGATCAACTCGGCCCTGGGCTTTTCGGATTCCCACTGTCGAACCATTAGGGACCAGTCATAATTTAAGTTGGAGGGGGGTGGAGGAGAAATTGGGGGCCTTCAATTTCTTTTGGGATGGAATATGGGGGCCTTAAAATGTCAAAAGATGACCTTGGGGGGGTCTTCAAGTTTCTTTTAAGTAGCATCCCTACTGAGCAGCATGATGTTTGAGTATTAAAGGACCTGATTTTCATTCAGTTTTACACAAAGTCCTATATTGTGTAATACTAAAACCAGGGGGGGCTGGCAGCGAGGTCTGGAACCGAGTTTACATGATCGCCCCAGTTAAGAAATTCGGCCGAGTGAGACTGAGTAGAAATTTTCTTTGAAAACAAATATGGCGGAGAATGCGGACATGGAAGGACGATGAGTTTTTACTCAGTTTTAAGTTTTCCCGCGTATAAATATCAAGAAAAGGTTTCTATGAACTTTTTTAATGGGCTTTTTGGACATCAGGAGGCGTGATGTATGAACAGTGCATGGGTGACTTCGCTTATCGTGATTCGCGATCTCGGCAAGTTCAGTTATAATTTTCGAGCGACCATCTTGCTCTATTTCTTATATTTTTCCACTTACAGTGGTATTAAGACTCTCTTCCTTATCTTAAACACATGCTACGAGCACAATATATTGGTATTAGTATTGCAACAGTCATATGTCAATTTTCATTAAACCACTGATTTTCTACTTCGCTGTTCGTAAGTTTGTTTGTGTACACCGGGAGGTACAACAAATATTTATGGGCGTAAATACAGAATACAGGACCAATGTAGTAAAAACCAGGGTAAATATTCCAATCACTTTGCTTCACATATACTGGGTCTGTCAATATAAGCTATTTTTAATATCAGAAGGCTGGGAGGGGTTTACTGAACCTTCAAAACCTTCACTGGAATGTCATTGGAGTGATAATAAATTTCCAACAGTAAAACCGTATTTAGTAGTTTTGTATTAGATAGTGACTCCGGTTTCAAGTATTTCCTTGAAATTGTTGGTACAGAAATTACCCTTTGGTTATGAATTATACTTGAAATGATTATAGTGGTTTAGTGTAAGAACAAGAGGCTAATTCAGTTGCTAATAAGAGTGAGTACATCAGGAAAGAGTATGCGTTGAGAACATCCCTTAAAGGACTGAAGTAAAAGAAACAGAAAAAAGAAAACTGAATGTTTTGCAAAGTTTATAAAGAGAACCAGAAGAGGCTTGAAAAATACACAACTTAAGTTTATTGTTTGTGTAAGTTATGAATCTGATTTACAGCTAAATTATACAAGGTAAAATTGATTTTTTATCAACCATCAAAAGAAGTTATTGTCGGGCTTGAGCCCTATCCTCTCAGCACTTCTTTCTATGATACTACCCTTAGTGTATTTGGTCTAGATGGGTATGTGCTGCTGATTTAGGGTGGTGACCATTTCACCCTTTAGAGTTTTGAACAAGGTGTCTGTTTGGGTTGTGAAGGTTGAAGAAAAAGCGGTCTATAGAGTAAAGTCTATTGGTACCACCATTTCCCCACCAAGTTTTGCCATGTTTCTAAGTTTAAAAGCTACCTTAATTCTGTATGCTAAAGGAAATGAATCAGGATTATAAATAAGGTCTCTTGGCTTAAAAAGGGTAGGGAAATGCACAATGTGTCCTACTACCCATACTCTCTTTCAGTGTAAGCCCAGGGAGGTGATCTCACATTTTAATACCCTTTTACCACTTGTTGTAACAACAAAGTCAGTGAAGGTTTATGGTCTCTGAAAAATATTTTTGCCAGCCTCAACACAAGTTTCTAACTGTTATTGTTGACTGCAAATAATATTATCTTAATAATCATTTTACATTTTTTTTCCAAGGCATCCTATGGTGTTTTCAATATCCACTAGTACAAGGCAATTTTTAAGTTGAGAGGGTTTACTTTGATTTCATTAACAGTAAACTACATTTTTACACAGACACAAACTAACCTGGCAGGCTGATGTCCAAAGGTGTAAACATTACATGCAATTATATTGCAAAAACTGATCACAGTGGCCAAAGGAAAGGCAAAAATACAAATGTCATCTTTTTGTAAATTTTATAAATTCCCTTTGAAGCATATTTAGCCAGATGTAGTCCTTGTCAAAACATGCAAACTTGAACATTTATTTTCTGACCTTAGCTAATCTTTTTTTAACCATACTCTTGTTCCAGTGGGTAGTGTAGTTTTTGGAATAAAATATTTACAGTTTTCCCTCTTTGTTAGCAACAAAACAAAACACAATTGAATGAGGACTCAAACTGAAGGCAGGGTAGTAACTGCTGTCATGAAAAGAGAATTCCAAACACACAAAATAATTACCCTTTCATTTGCCTATATCCATTTCTTAGAAACTACGGTAAAGTTTAAATTATGTCACACGAAGATAAGAACTTAAGCATATCAAGAGTGAAATCAATGATCTCTTGGCAAAATTTATTTAGCTTCTTGTACATAACAAAATACATGAACTACGAGATTTGACCATCTGCCACTCAATCATCCAAGGCAACTCTGCCAGGATAAGTTCACAATCAAGGATGAAGAATTAAGAATCTCAATCATAATTTCTTTTCGTCTTAAAAGGTGTAATGAAACCGTAAACAACTCTGACAACTCTTCTACTTGACCACGGCCAACGCGCTTTTTTTAATATCACGAAGGATTAATTTTTGGCCTTTTACTTGAAAATATAAACTCTTCTACATACGCATTGGAGGGTTGGCCCTTCTTCTAGTCTTGTGGGTCTTCTAAACAGAAACACAGCTTGAAAGCCTGTAGTGAGCCAAAAGGTCGGGCATCGAGGAACATGTACAATGACTGTTCACTAGTCTCATTCTTAGCGTAGTAAATCGCATGTAATGATAAACGCAAGACCAGAAGAAAGGAAAACGTAAGCTCCACATTACTGCCGAAAAAATCGGTTACAGCAAAGAAAGCAATGACCAACAGGACCAAAAGCGAATTCACTTCATCACACTGTCGAGTCGCTGCGAAGACGAACTTCTTGATGTTGTTGTTGTTCCCAGCCCGTTTCGCGCATGCTCGCTACAGTTCTCGAATGATTGACAGATTTCTTAACTGGGGCGATCATGGAAAGCCGAAAAGCGGCAAGATCAAAGGCCTTTGCCAGCCCCCCCTGACTAAAACAATTTAATCAGCATTTTTACAAAAAGATTTAATGCTCAAATAGTAGCTGCATCAACACAACATCCATTATTGTGTAACACTGAAACAATTTCCTGGGCATTTTAACAAATGATTACATGCCTAAAGTCATGTTATGCAATCTCACTATCCGAATCATTATTTCTAGATGAGGTTGATGTGGACTCACTGTCTGTGTCACCGTCAAGTTTTTTGCTATTAGAGCATGTACTGCTCATATAAAAAGCACTAAGCTTTGGCTGATTATCTTCTTTCTTCCTTGAAGCGGTCCTGTCGGCCTCTCACCTTTCGATGGCTTGTCTTATCTCAATTATGACACAATCACTGATATATGCTTGCTCTATAAGCTGTTTGAGAGGCTCTAGGTGAAATCTCTTTCTCAGTTTAGTGTGAAGTGCTTCTCTGTTGTTAGTTGGCACATTCGGAAGTGACAGTTAGTAAGAACGGTAAAGTAACGAAAATGTTATTTGTTATTACCATTTGGGTATTTATGTATAAGAAAGGGGGGCCCTTAAATCTTTTAACATGAAAGGAAGGAGGGGTACCTAAAAAACATGGGTGCTATTAGCGGGGGTCCGGAAAAAATTTGGAATAAAAAACAATTTCTCCTCCACTCCCCCCTCCAACTTAAATTATGACTGGTCCCTTAGTCATAACTAAAAAGACCTAACCTTTGTTGTTAGGGAATGGATGGATCACTTAAGTGCTTGAATGGTGCCAAAGAGCTTGAAGTTAAGTTTGCGTTTTGCTCCGAACGTGGATCAGCTGTTGATAAAGAGGAGATCCTAATACGACATTATTTTCGTCGTGGATTTAGTTTATCGTACCCATCCACATGCCAGGCGAAATTCTGACTATGGTTAGTTTACATGCATCCTCCTCAGTGCACGAGCCTTCCGCAAAGCGGGATCTACCCTGCGTAAAATACTCTCCCACCTTGCTTCTTGGTTCTTGAATGCCGTAATCCAACTGAAGGCAGTGCCATATAGCACCATCACCTAAGAGATTCGTAACCGGGGAGAAATGGTCCCTTGCGTTTTCAGAAAGGGTTGTTTTGACAATTTTGACATTCAAAAGGGTCAGCTAGCGTTTTCTGGAAGCAAAGAATTCGCTAGGAAGGCAACTTTCAGCTAGAAATTTGGGAACAGAGATTTTATTCCCTAAACTTTTTGGGCACTTCACTTTTCAGCTACGAAATACGAACGAATCAAATTCTTCTAGCTGATAATAAAATAAAATAAAAAACTCTTTAAACAGTCTTTGTTCATGAAAAGGAACTTAGAATTGCTCTGCTAAGGCTTTTAGTTAAATTTGTTCGTTGGGTGCCCCTAGAAATTCACCAGGCCATCCAACAAGAATTAGATAGGCCGGGTTGTATGAGGGATTATGTTTCAGTTAAGAAATCTTCAGCTTTTTCGCAACGGTGAATCCGAAAACCTTGGACGGTTTGACTCTCTCGAACAGATATTTAACCTAAGCATTTCGTTGGGTGCCCCTGAATTTCGCCACCATCACCACTTTTGTTACTGAATCAGGCTGTATGACATCTTTCCATTCTAAGGATGGGTGGAAGATAATTAGCAACTGAACCAGGCTGTATGACATCTTCCCACCCTTCAGCAATGTCTTGCCCTTTCTTCCGTCACAAAGACTGGGAGCTGTTTAATCTGACAAACTGGACTGAAATGCTTATTCTTCATTTGTTCATTGAAAGGCAGGATATTATCGAAGAGTGAACTCTCCTATACCCCCCTAATAAAATGTAGTGAATTGTTTTTGATAGGAGTGAATACAGTAAGAATATTCGCACCTTAAATTCGGAAGCACATTCAGAACATGAAATTATTTTATTCTGTAACCTCTTATCTACAGATTTGATAAAAACTATCCAGGTGATACAGTGCAGTCCTGCAGGCTTGGTTGAAGCTCAAATCAATGAAGCAATTTAGATTTGCTTCATTCATTGACAAAAAATACTCAGTATGTAATAAGATGATCACAAGGCTTTCTAAAGGTTACAAGCTGTGGAAATATTTCTATCCTCTCTAAGAGTGTCTTCCGGGGGGGGGGGGATACTTGGGTCAATTTTTGCTGGGTATGTGCTGCTGGCCTCTCCGAACCCCTACCCCATAATAGTCTATTCTGTGGCCAATCAAAGACCCCATCTTAGTCACTTTTGAGCAAATATCATTTTCGCTATCCCAACTTAGTCACTTTCTGATTATGCCTCTACCTTATAAAGCCTTTTAATTAGGTCATCCTCAAATGAATCGACACGTTTGTTAAATTAAATGTAGAACACTTTACTTTTCACGTACAGTACAAAACATTCTGGTACATTTGCTAGCCGTAAATATTCATAAACGTACCGTCATAAGTAGTTGAAAAGCAAACATTCTTCGTTAACGGGAACGTCATAATAGTCTCTTACATGGATAAAAACAATTTGATTATAACAAAATTATTTAGAACTTATAGATCAGAAGATTCATACTCCCAATAATTCTGCTTCCCAGAATTTTCTTATCCCAGAAATCCCGAAAATGTGCGACCCCATTCTGGTAACTGTACTAAAAATGAAACCCTATTATAGTCAACCCAGTCGTGAAAATGCAACCCCATCCAGCGGCACATCCCCATTAGCCTCTTATAAGGAAGTACCCCCTCCCCCATCCGGAGTGTCTTCTTGGGACAAGCTTTATGGAGTTGGAAGAGCGACTGTACCCGTACAGAAACCGACACATGCAGCACATGCCCCTCCTCCAAGCATAAGACAACCGGCAGCAACCACGATTGCTGATGGACCTGTCAATCCCCCAAAGGGAAGGCCTGCAAGAACAACCATTTGACAAAGTTTCCTTTTGTTTTGTTTTTTTTTTTACAAAAAGCATAAATTGTTGAATTAATGTTAAGGTAACGAGACGTTTGTAAAAAAATTGAAAAAGTTGATAACCATGACTAAGTGGCGTTCATGAGGATTTAGCTTCTTCCAAGTGGACTGAAATATTTTAGGTCTCTAATTTGTCCTCCATCACCCACTTGCAAATTCTTGACCAGTACCTGCATGGCCTGTTAAGTTTTTGTCAGATGCCATCTCAAAAGTGTATTAGAAACAAGAAAGAAACAAAGACCACTAAAACCCTTACTTGAGATGAGACCTAAGTCTCTTAGGGTCTTACTCAAGTCAATACTTAGGTCCTTTTAACTTGAGTGTAATCTTAGGGGAAAATCTTAAGACTTAAGGGGATGTTAAAAGCAAACACCCCAACTTAATTTTAGACTTCAGTAACTCAAGTCTTCAACTTTAGACTAAGATCAGAGTCAACGACTTAAGCAAGTCTAAGAGACATATGAATAAGTCTTATGGCTTAAGTAAGAATCTGAGAAACGGATCATTATGAGACTTAAACTGACGGTCTTTAGGTCTTGAGGGTCTTTATTTTCATGACACCCAACTTAAATCTTGACTGAAGTAGTTGTTTTTGAGTCAAACCCACCCCAAAAGGTATAAGGTTTTCCAGTGCATTTTTTTGAGATATTGCAGCCAAATTTCACGCAATACACAGCGATTATGTTATAGACCTTATTCATAAATGGCACCTGTTTTATTATTCTTTTGATAATGTGCAAATTAGCCTACCAAGCCTCATTTTAGAGCAAGAATTCCTTTCAATTCACTGTATGGTACCGAGACTTGGTAGGCTAATTTGCACTTGGATAAAAGAATTATAAATTGACCGCCATTTATGAATAAGGTCTATGGAATCGGAATGATTACCTATCCCAAGTGATGTGAAGAAAATAATGAAGGACAAGGGAAAAAAGTTCTGGACATCGGCCGGGGTGGGGGGAGGGGGGCATAGAAGGAAGAAAAGGTGAAAATACAGGGAAAACACTTTGGGGGCTTCTTTTTATCGCACTGCCCTACCGGTAATTTTTGGCATATACCAGGTAGCATGGGGAAGTTCACCCCATACTTGTGGTGCAGTTGATGCGGTGCAAATTGGCCATGATTTTGTGAAATGAACTAAAAGCTGCGCAAAGTTCACTTACATAATTTCTTCCCACAGCTGTTTAATAATTATTGACGAAAATTGATAATAAGTACATAAGTGGCTTCATAGCTCAGTTGGTTAGAGCGTCGCACCGGCATCGCCAGGTCACGGGCTCAAACTCCGTTGAAGTCCTGAATTTTTTCAGGCTTCTCTACCCAATTACTAAAATTGCGTTCATAACTGCGAGAATCATACCTTTACTTGACGTGAGAAAGATTAAGTGTCATTGTCTGAGAAAGTGTTCCAGGGGCCAAAAGTTGTGGTCAACCGATTTGGCTGAAACTTGGCACAGAAGTTGGGTGTGATGAGATATTTCAAAAGCCACTTTGGCTCACTTCTCTGACTCTTAGATTTGGAGTTACAGGGGGGTCTCATTTTTTGCCCTTTGAGCACCAAAAATCCAGCCTTCCAGGGGGCATTTTGAAAGTGTGATAAGACGCCACTGGTAAATTGTGCTGGCAAATGAATTTGACCATGAACTATACTATAATAGAGCTTTCAGTTCATGCATGTAACTTTGTCCTCAAGGTATTGCACAGAGAGGAGCCTGGGGCTAGAGTTTGGTCAAAATTGATGTTAAAATTACAACCCAAAATAGCCATTTTTCAAAATTTCACTATATTCACCTGCCTTCTTGCATAACTTCCATACCTATACGACTGTTTACTTTAGTCACCCAATTATCAAAATCAGTTGAGAAAAATTTGGCTTATTATGATTTATTGAATTTTTGGAACAAACACTTCATGCCCCTCTAAGGTGATTTAAAATGGAATTTTGAGCATAATTCAGGCCATAAACAAACCAAATTGTTGACAAGAAGCCCTTATTCTGTATTTGGTAAGTGAAAATAAATTGTCAAAGCCAAATCAGTTTCGTTGTTTAGAAATACACCGCTTCTTACCTTTAAATTGATCTAAAACGGGCCTCTGATTAGCACAAAAAACACATGATTTAGCAAAACAAAGGTGATTTTATTCTTTGAAAACCTAGCAGCCACCATGGGAACACAAGTGATGATGTTCTGACATAAATATAACGACTTTTTACAAGATGCTTAAATTTTTCTTTGATTTATATTCAGTTTCACGTCATATTTCTAAGCATTACTCCAGGCATGTGAAGTCTCCATATTTTGTCAGGCCCAATTTTTTTATATTTTTACCTGATAAATTTAGCTTATCAAAAGGTTCGTTAACATATAATCTTCGTCTGACCTTGTAATAGCCTGAATAGTTGTTGTAAATACCGATCAGCAAAGGAGCATTACCATACTTACATAGATTATACAAACACATACGAGAATCAGTGAGCAGTATCGAGGTGAACTGTGATTTTACGAGTCCTTTAGAGTTGAAAAAATGAAACCATCCATCCACAGTTAGAAGAGCTGGGTAACAAAAAGCTTTTGTTGCTTTTTTAAGGAAAAAAGGGACAAACAAAGCCTTGCATTGAGATGATGCAATTGTTATTACATCAAATTAACTACCCGCCATTTTGGACTTGGAGAGTGTGGGGACTGGACCGAGTTCCAGTCCAATCCTTCTCCTGTTTCGCGGGAATTTTTTTGTGTTTTACATCAGGTGTGTTAGAAGTTCTAGAAGGTGATCTGTTTCAGGATGATTTTACCATGGCATTTTATTCCTTTGGAGGGGTGAGTGACCAGTGCGGTGTCACGTCGTGGGCTGTACAAGAAACAGGAATGCTCCCTTTGTTGTCTTGCGATAGCGGCATGACTGCATGGTTAAAGCACAAGTAGAAGGGTTCAAGTTTGTCCGGGGAAGAAGAGGAAGACCTGGTGATGCAAAAGCTACAGGTGATTCAAAAGATCAGTTAGGGATCATACACGTGCACAAATGGCTCTTATCGCGGTTTACGGGACTCCTTTACTTGAAGAGAGACGATGCTATATGAGTTAAGATATTGTTGTCTCAAATTGTTTGTTTATGGTTGATTGATTCCCTTGTTAATTTCCTGGGTCCTTACGAAGAGCACTAAACATTCAACAAACTCATCGCAGCAATATCTTTATCAAAAGAAACAACAACAATAGTAGGAATAACTTGAAGGCTGTTTTTTGTCTGCTCGAGCTGTTTCTTTACATTCAGCTTGTCACGTGGACACGCTTATAAAGCAATGCTAAGTTTGGCAATGCACAATTTCGAGCCGGATTGCACTGAAACTCCACCGGTCTCCTTTATTTGCCTGTTTCGTCGAAGACAAGTGAACTTAGAATAGGCCTAGCTACATAATTCCGCATTAATTGTTTTGGGAATCTTAGACACCAAAAAGAATTTTAGAAAATCTCAAGAATATTAGAAAAAATTGTAAAATACTAGAACTTGAATAGCAGTATATATAGGAGAATACTGAATAGCAGTTTGAACAGTCAACCAAATTTTGGCAACATTTCACAGCTAAAAACGTTGAAAAAACGTTCTTATTTTTCTATATTTTTTCATTAAATTTTTAATTCAATAGTGAACATTATTTTAAATAATTTTTTAATTAAATAATGAAACATTTTTCTCTACAAATATGCACTAATCTTCCGTGCTCTTCAAGAACAATTCAGAGTCAGTTCCCATTCAAGTACTACATATGTGTGTTCATTGCCTATGCTTTATTCCAAGCAAATCCAATAATATCAACTAATTCGGTCGATTTTACGACGGCGTTTTAATGACATTTTCTCTCTGAAAATGTCAATTTCATCGAAAAACTTAGATGCAGCATGTTTTCAAAGATCTTCGACGAAAAGGGTAAATAATGGAAACCAGTAACTGAACTGTGCATTGCATGATAAGCGTGTGCACGTGACAAGCTGAATGGAAACAAGCAGCTCAAGCAGACAAAAGAAAGCCTTCAAGTTATTCTTGTCGTTTTTGTCTTCTTTTTTTTTGACAAATTTGTTGAATGTTTCATGCTCTTCCTAAGGGACTTGTCAGAAATTAGCAGGCGGGGGGGGGGGAAGGGTAGGGGGGAATTTTAAATTTGGGTTCGGAAATGAGGTGACCCATCCCTGCAATGGGAATGAAATTTGCTAACCCTCCCCTTGAGCTTGACCTAAAATATCATGACCCTCGCCCTTTTGTATAAATGATAAAATCTAGTTCTTGAAATACACTAGGATGAGTCACTATTATGAAAACTCAAAATATTTCTGTTCTTTGTAATGCTATATACATAAATTTTAGATGACAGCATTAAGAGTCTGACTCTGATTCTGACAGCTGATCACTCGACTCTCCTATTTCTCCCAAGTTTTTTTTTACCAAATAAAGAACTTCCTTTTTCTTCTGTGGGTGAACCTCTATATGATAACGGACATACATTTGCATGACCCTCCCCCTTTTAACGGCCCATTTTTCATGACCCCTCCCTTTTCTCAAAAAGTAACCCTCCCTCTGTTTCCATCCCCCATCCCCTCCTGCTAATTTCTGACAAGTCCCTAAGGACCCAGGAAATTAACATGGGAATCAATCAACCATAAACAAACAATCTGAGACGACAATATCGTAAATTATACATCATCGTCTTTCTTCAAGCAAAAAGAGTTCCGTAAACTGCGATAAGAGCCATTTGTGCGCGTGTATGATCCCTAACTGATCTTTTGAATCACCTGTAGCTTTGGCATCACCAGGTCTTCCTCTTCTTCTCCGGACACACTTGAACCCTTCTGGTTGTACTTTAACCATGCAGTCATGCCGCTATCGCAAGACAACAAAGGAAGCATTCCTGTTTCTTGCACAGCCCATGACGTGCACTGCACTGGTCATTTACCCCTCCAAAGGAATAAAGTGCCATCGAAAAATTATACTGAAACAAATCGCTTTCTAGAATTTCGTACACACCAGGACCCAGTCGTTCGAAGGCCGATTAGCGCTTAACCCGGGGTTAAATTTAACCCGTGCTTGTTTTTCTTGTGTTTAAAAGCATTTTCTCGGATAATTTTCTCTGCTATTTGTAGAGCTTCCAGTCATCAACTTGTAGACAAAAAGAATTAAATCTGAGATGCTTTTTAAGCTTTCAAATCTGAATTCAAATCTCTCACTAACCCTGGGTTATCTTAACCCTGCTTTGAACAACTCGGCCCTGATGAAAAACACAACAAAATCGGCGAAAAGCAGAAAGATTGGACGGGAACTCCGTCCAGTCCCCACAGGCCACAATTGCAGGCCAGCTAACTTGATGTAATAACAATTGCATCATCTCAATGCAAGTATTTGTTTGGGTTGTTTTCTTTATAAAAGCAAAACAAGCTTTTTGTTATCCAGCTCTCCTAACTGTGGATGGATGGTTTCATTTTTTCATCTCTAAAGGACTCGGAAAATGACAGTTCACCTCGATACCACTCACTGAAGCTCGTATATGTTTGTATAATCTACTTATGTATGTTCATACTCCTTTGCTGATGGGTATTTACAACAACTATTCAGGCTACTACAAGGTCAGACGAAGAATATATGTTAGCGAACGTTTTGATGATCTAAATTATCAGGTAAAAATATAAAAAAATGGGCCTGGCAAAGTATGGAGACTTGGAGTACTGCTTAGAGATATTACGTGAAACCACAGGTGGCCCAAGCGTAATATGGGCCACCTGTGGCGTAATATGAGAGTTTGTATGGGAAAAATAGAGTTTGAAACTTAGATGAAAAAAATGTCAGGTCAGATGATGTAAAAGTACTCAAATCGAGCTGAAACTTCGCAAAAACAAAGACAACGACTCTACGTAACAATATTTACACTTTATTGATAACTTTTATCGCTTTTACTTCATTTATTTCATCTAAGTTTCAAACTCTATTTTTCCCATACAAACTCTCATATATATTATGCCACAAGTGGCCCATATTACGCTTGGGCCACCTGTGGTGAAACTGAATATAAATCAAAGAAAAATTTAGGCAACTTGTAAAAAGATCGTTACATCTATGTCAGAACATCATCACTTGTGTTCCCATGGTGGTTGCTAGGTTTTCAAAGAATAAAATCACCTTTGTTTTGCTAAATCATGTGTTTTTTGTGCTAATCAGAGGCCCATTTTACACCAATTTAAAGGTAAGAATTGGTGTATTTCTAAACAACGAAACTGATTTGGCTTTGACAATTCATTTTCACTTACCAAATACAGAATAAGGGCTTCTTGTCAACCATTTGGTTTGTTTATGGCCTGAATTATGCTCAAAATTCCATTTTGCATCGCCTTAGAGGGGCATGAAGTGTTTGTTCCAAAAATTCAATAAACCATAATAAGCCAAACTTTTCTCAACTGATTTTGATAATTGGGTGACTAAAGTAAACAGTCGTATAGGTATGGAAGTTATGCAAGAAGGCAGGTGAATATAGTGAAATTTTGAAAAATGGCTATTTTGGGTTGTAATTTTAACATCAATTTTGACCAAACTCTAGCCCCAGGCTCCTCTCTGAGCAATACCTTGAGGACAAAGTTACATGCATGAACTGAAAGCTCTATTATAGTATAGTTCATGGTCAAATTCATTTGCCAGCACAATTTACCAGTGGCGTCTTATCACACTTTCAAAATGCCCCCTGGAAGGCTGGATTTTTGGTGCTCAAAGGGCAAAAAATGAGACCCCCCCTGTAACTCCAAAACTAAAAGTCAGAGAAGTGAGCCAAAGTGGCTTTTGAAATATCTCATCACACCCAACTTCTGTGCCAAGCTTCAGCCAAATCGGTTGACCACAACTTTTGGCCCCTGGAACACTTTCTCAGACAATGACACTTAAGTGCAGCAATTACTTTTTCGGGAGGAGGGGAAAGGGAATCTTACTGTAATACTATTGCAAATTTTTTGTTACTGATTGGGTGAATGGACGTCAATAAAGTTGATTATTTGAATAAATAAATAATAAGTGAGAACTTACAGACGGCGGCAGCACCGGCGCAGGCACCGCTACAGCATTTCAAGATGCAAATTGCTGAGGTTACTGGGCCAGACTCAGCAGGTGGGTTGATCATCACCAAGATCACTACCAAGATGGTAAAGCATTTAAGGCAGACAATCTTCATTGTATCCACTTCGAGTTGACCCTGATTTAAGGTTTGACCATCCAGCAGCAGTTGTAGTTAAGTAAAATGAAACGATTGTGCAATATTAATAGATGATCCTGTGTTAGAACGACCGACCTATCCAATCGAACAAAACCGAACAAAAAACCAATCGAACCCAATCGAACTCCAATCGTTCGATTGGGTTGGGCAATCGAACAAAATCGAACACCTATTTTGCTGTGAGTTCGATTTTCGAACCAATCGAACCAATATAATCGAACAAAATCGAACAAAATCGAACTAATCCAATGCAATTGTCTCTTGACGCCTCAAACTGAGTAAAACACGTGGAATATAATCATTGTCAGCTTTTATTGAATAAACAGGAACTGAACATCATACTGCAAGAATGTCAATGTTCGAACAAAACAAAACAAATAAAAGGCAATTTCGATGACTGTTAAGGTACTGTGACTGTTAAAAGGAAATGCTTCTCAACAGAGAAAAATCGCACCATTTCAACAACAGCAACACGGGCAGTTGTGTTTAAAATTAGTATTATAATAAGCAGAAGGGACCTCGCTGCAGCTATGCGATGCTATCATGCGATGCGGCGTCCGTTAATCGAACGTTCGATTATACCAATCGTTCGGTAATCGAACGTTCGATTGGGTTCGATTACCAATTGTTGGGTAATCGAACGTTCGATTGTGTTCGATTGGCAAAATTTTATTGTGAATTCGATCATGTTCGATTGAGTTCAGCAATCGAAAGATTGGTGTTCGATTGGGTTCGATTGCCGAACTGTTCGATTGGATAGGTCGGGTAGAACGTCAATGTTTTGCCTTCTGGCCTGAACGAGTCTCAAATAATCAGCACAGCATGAGTACCAAAACATAAGCGACCAAAACCACGTCACAACTTGCAGATCGTAAAACTCCAAGGCACCACATACAGCTAACATTTAAAACTAAACGCTGTGGCTATATGGCCGGTAACCGGTCAAGGTTTTCAAAATACTAAATGGCCGGCAGTTCTATATTCTCAGTAAATTTCACAAAATCGAAAGATTCCAGCTAATTTAAACTACCATACGTCGATTTAGAAAAGTCAAGTGATCCTGAAATGCTTTACAGATCTCAAGTCTAATGTTTGGTTTACGCTGAACCATGTTTTGTGACACTTTTCAGCTCGACTGCCGGTCAAGGTTTTCAAAACACTAAATGGCCGGCAGTTCTATATTCTCAGTAAATTTCACAAAATCGAAAAAAACCAGCCATAAGTATAAAAGTGTCCTGACATCTCTTTTCCGCGACTCACAGAGGTTACTATCATCACACCCAGTCAGGCCAGGTTTTTATCTGTTTTTATCGTGCCTGGTGTCACGCCACGCTTTGGACAAAAAACAGTAACGAACATCCAAAGACTCGCGACCAACAAAAATATGATATAGAAATCCCACAAAACCGGCTGGTTTGATCAGGATCACGACATGTTATAGTTTAGATTAGCTGGAATTTTTCGATTTTGTGAAATTTACTGAGAATATAGGACTGCCGGCCATTTAATGTTTTGATAACCTTTGACCGGCAGTCGAGCTGAAAAGTGTCACAAAACATGGTTTAGCGTAAACCAAACACTAGGCTTGAGATCTGTAAAGCATTTCAGGATCGCTAAAGGGGGGAATTTCATGTATCCCATGACGCATCGCTTCAAACTATATTATCAAGCTTCCGCATGCACGTGATCCTATCAGTTCAACAGGGACGCGACAGTTGAACAACGGTGGAAAGCGACTTGTGTTGCCGATAAAACCTTCTGTACTTTTGCTGTGTCCATCTATTAACAATTTTCGTTTTACTATTCCAAATATATTTCTTGTTAAGTCAAAGAGAGTGTTTTGGCCGCCGATTATTAGTTAACTAGCCTTACGATCGCAAGGCAGTCCACGCAAATGTTCTTAGAAGCTAGCGAGGAAGATCTTTGCTTCAGTACGTCTTGTGTTAACGTACGTTGATAAAGCTCTCCATGGATTTAGAAGCAATTTCCACGTACTTGTTATAAAATAAATACATATTCTAGGTGTGAGATTTCTCTTCGCTGCTTGTTTGTGATCGCGGTGCTCCTATTGTCAGTTCGATAATTCATCGATACAGTACATCAACCATTCGTTGACCGCACATGCTTTTACTTCAACAAGCTCGGCTTATGTAGTCGAAAATACCGAGACTGTTAAAGTACAAAGTGACGTCTATCGGAGATAAAATTCAAAGGAAGGGAATGGCTCCAACAAACAATAAAAATAACAAAGACATCTCTATATTTTTCGTAACGCATCATTGTCAAACATAAACAGAAAAAAGCTTTATTAAGAAATGGCGAAATATATGTACAAAAACACGCACTTCTTCTTTACAATGGATCCTAAAAGAATTATCGGAATGTCTTTAAAGGTTTTATACGCCGGTTGAGGTCCTACGGCATGCTATTCAAGGACATTTGCTGGCCTGTATATTTCAAGTTCGCCTCGCGCGGTTGCGACCGGAAGCCACCATGAGAAACCAATTTTACCTAAAATAATGAGACAAAAAAGCTTTAATACTATAAACCATTGAATTTAAACAGTCATCATACCATCAAGAGATAATACTTGTGTTTTGATCAGCGTAAAAAGGGCGAATTCAAGAAAAATGTGCCATCTTCGCAGGACTTTGCATAAAGAAATTGAAACCTTCCCCTTGCTTCTTAGGGGAGAAAGGGCAGAAAATGCGATATTTCAAAACGATCAAACCCACAGAAATCGCGAGGTCGAAAGAGGTCGGAGCGTGGAACTAGTATCAAGCACGCCTTGACCGCCGATTTAAATAATTTATTAGGGTAAAACCTTTCTAGAATAAAGACAATTTTCGATAATTGAAAGTCATCTAAATAAATATTCATTTGCGAGTCAAAACAACATGGCTTAACAGGGTCGTAAACGGGAGCAATAATGCGTGAAATGACTATGGAAACAGTTTACATTATCAATCAGATACCAAAGATTAACAAGGCTCATTGAAACTTACCTTGGATAAGCTGCATCTTGAAATTCAGGTCGTTCAAAATCTCCCTCGAAACCCTCGAACGCTCTTTCCACCGCGGAGAGAAGACAGAAATTAGCCGCGAAGCATCATGGGATATATGAAATTCCCCCCTTTAGGATCGCTTGACTTTTCTAAATCGACATATGATAGTTTACATTAGCTGGAATCTTTCGATTTTGTGAAATTTACTGAGAATAACGGACTGCCGGCCATTTAGTGTTTTGAAAACCTTGACCGGCAGTCGAGCTGAAAAAATTTTTAAGTGTCACAAAAAATGATTTCCTCCTCTGAGCCCAGCGCAAACCAAACACTAGACTTGAGATCTGTAAAGCATTTCAGGATCGCTTGACTTTTCTAAATCGACATATGATAGTTTAGATTAGCTGGAATCTTTCAATTTTGTGAAATTTAATGAGAATATAGAACTGCCGGCCATTTAGTATTTTGAAAACCTTGACCGGCTACCGGCCATATAGCCACAGCGAAAACTAAAACACAAACACAGGCGATGTCTGACTGCCTCACTTACCCTTCAGAGAAAAGAAAGAATACGACTATTCCAAACACCTTGGCTGCACGATGTCGCTTACAGCCGGAAGGACTGAAAGTGAGGTCGCTGTTTGTCGAAAGAAATGAAAGTGAATGTTTCTGGGACTTTTCCCGTAATCTGCAAATAACGAAAGCAAAACCCTTCCGGTCTGAACATTGCGGGCTCGTGCACTCTCTCTCATGCGACTCCGTAGCGACCAATGACCAATGACGAAACAGAACTTGGATCATTTTTGTCGCCGAATTACGTGGGCGCAAAAATTTCGGACTTTTCGGCGCAATTACCGGATGTTTTGTAATGCATTTGAAATTTCAATTCGGTGAGATGGCAATCTTCGTCATTTGTATAGCACGATTCATTAAGTTGAAATTTCCGGGAAACTCGTCCTGAACAGGCAATAGACTTTTTAGTCTCGCTTGCTTTAGCAAAGCGAGAATCTTAAAATGCTGTTCGGTTTTTTTTTTTTTCGGTGGGACCTAGTTTTTAGGTCCCGCGTTCCTAGCGAAGACCGTGGAAACTGGGGATAAGAATCGTGACGACTTTCATTGTATGGAAATGAGTCTCGTGATGAGCATGCGGTTTATTTTGGGGGATGACTGGAATAACACGCAATGTTTATCACGTTTAAGTGCTTTTCTTCCATGTAAGAAATCAGACTTTATCTTTTTCGTTAAAACAGGTTACGTTTCAGGCTTATATGACATAGTAAGCCGATAAAATCGTAAGTGCGAAACAGACATAACAAAAAGTAAAACTGTAAAGACGTGCTCTCTCTGATCTTATGGTAATTTGGTTCTGACCTTCACGATCACGTGCGAAAAAGTAAACACAGCTAAACGTGACAAAAAGAATAGTTTTGTAAAGACGTGTTCCGGGTCATGGTAGCGCAGAATCTGGGGATGAAAATCGACACGATGCTCTCAATCTCAGTGAACACTTGGAAAAACAACGCGCAATTGTCTGAATGTTATGTTCAGAGACGAAAAATTTGGAAAGATTAATGGATTATACGGTGATGTCGCTTACAAATCCACACACCATTCGTGGTAGACCCACACTAAAAGATGTCGAGCGTTTCCGGAATGGTTCGTTCCACGAATTCTGTCGTTTGAAAGCGTTGATAACTTTGAAAGAAGTGAATACATCAGATGTTGAAACAAGGAAGAATGTTTATGAGCAGAACTTCGATGATGAGATAAAAAACAACAAGCAAATCGTCGTTAATTTACCTCTCGTGTTCAACAGCCTGATTCTTTTCCTTTTTTTCATGATGCTGGATACTTAATTGTAACGAACAACTTGATATTTTGTACATCATTAATATTATTGTACAGGTGATGATAAATGTCGAGGAAACAAATCTGGGGCCGATTTTCGAATCTTTGAAACTCAAATGAAATTCAATGAAATTGCCTGATTTGACTAACCTGATCTAGAATTCTTATGTATTTGCGAAATACTGTAGGAAAACGGCACAAAAATTCATTTTCGGCGACCGAAATTTACGGCTTCGAGACAGCACTTCCGTTTGCTGTCCACCGCAACAGAAGATGACTGAAATGACGTAGTAAAGTAAATGCTGCTCGTTCCAATAAAGTTTTTTTCGTCTGCTGTGTAGATTATGCTCTGGAAGGTTCTACATTTTCACTGAGTAAATGTTATTTTACCCGCATGTTTCACGCTGAGAGATCATGACACACATATCGATTTACTGTGGCTATTAGCGGGGAAGAGCGTTGTGTGACGACACTAAAAACGACTGTGTAGCAGACTATTTTGAAGCATGATGGTGAAGCTTTCTATTACGGCTGAATAAGGGTTCCAGTTTTCTCCAAAGTATCTTCTGGATCTGCATAACTAAGCGATTTTCTTTAGTCTATGAATGTAATGTTTTTGTGCAATGCTGTATCACGTTAAGCCCAACTCATTAGTTTTGTTTGGAAAATCTTAAATTATTACTGGTAGTGATTTACAGGTCGTGTGTACTGTTGCAATAAAACGTAATACTGAGTAGAGCGGAGGTACAAGGCAACTGTAATATCACGACTGAGCCATTCTTCGGTGGTTCCAACAATGTTACCTCTTGCGTCTTTGGTTGTTCGTTTTGCGACTGGGTAGTGGGAAGCCTTTACACAAGCGAAACCTGCTTCAAGACATCGAAGACTGTTGGCATGTACACAACAAATGTTCAGTCTTGAAAGATCTTCACTTCACTTAAAACTCTGTTGCCTTCGCATAGATCTCTAAGATCTTTAAAACTCCCTCCGCAGCTAATATTTTGATTCTCGAATTAGCAGCGGTCTGTTGCTTTTGCGTTTCCGGTCTCATTCACTTCCGTCACCGACCGAGAGATGCGGTTCACAACGAACTAAGTCACGTGGTACAAGTTTCCTCCCTTATCCTTTTTTTTACTCGCCACTTCGCGCTACGGTCGCCCTTCCGTCACCCTTGCGGTTATTGATTTTCAAAATGGCGAACAACAAAGTCGATCTGGATCAGGTAAAAAGCAAAGAAATCCTTTACAGTAGATTCATAAAGATCCCATTGGGCTAATTAATCGCGCTAAGCGACAGGTATAAACATTTTTCGAGGTGAGACTTTGAATAATTAATTTATTTATTCACACGCAACTCCTCTGGACCCCGTGCAGTAGATTGAAATCATAATTCAACTTTTTCACTTGCTGTCGGTGACTCTGAGGAATTATGACGAACCCCGGGGGAGGACGACTCTGCACATGAAAGGCAAGGGGATGCTCGTCGGAAATTTTGAATTAAATCCCTACAACAGATCGATGTTGTTATTTTTATATTTTTTCACATGCAACCCTAAACAAGACCTTCACGGCTAAATATAATACCGTTTTGCCCAGAACACCGTAAGTGAGACCAAAATCCGAAATTTACACCCCGGCCAAAGCAAGACGACGAGCATCGCAAGCCCTTTTATATGCGGAGCGCCCCCCTCTCCCCCCGCCCCCCGAGTGACGAACGCTCGCGCTCTATTCGCCTCCTCACTTCTTATCTTATCTACAAACAAGCGAGACTCAACGCTACCTAGAGCGTTCTTGTTCACGGATAATGACACCATATTGGTTGGGAGCAAACACGGCTAAAATGACAGTTAATGAGTCGTGTATGGGATTTTGGTCGACTTTGAACCTCTGCAACTCCGCTACGGACACAGTATTTTGACAGCGAAAAAGTCTTTTAAAAGGCATTTCTACTGACATTATTTTCATGAAGTGCAAAGAACAGATTCAGGCTACAACGACCGTAAACGTATTTTGAATATTTCGTACAAATCACAAATCCTTGTAATCGAAACGGTCAGTATAAAACATGGACTGCGGACTGCGGACTGCGGACTACGGACTGCGGACTGGGTATAAAATACGGACTAGGTATAAAACGCGGCCTAGAAAATACGGACTGGGTATAAAACATGGACAAGGCATAAAACGCGGACTGCGGACTGCGGACTGGGTATAAAATACGGACTACAGACTACTTTGGTAAAAACCGTGCAAATTGGTTCAGGTAAGGAAAAATAAGATCAAAAGATCGCTAAATAGCAAGACTCGTGAGTTTATAAATTCTTGGTGGAGGTGTCCCGCCCGGTTCTCTGAATCATGAGCCGGATCAAAATGCTATTTTCTTCACCCATTTTTAGACCTTGCCGTGGCCTCTAACAATCATGAAAGGGGTCAGGATCAGGGGTGGTACTCCCTTCTATTATGGAAGGGTAGGGGGTTTGGGCCTTTTTGGTCTGAAAACACTTCGCCCATTTTGTTGTGGAATCGGGTATGGTTTTCGAGGGAACAACGGGGGCGTACATGAATGGACGTATTTATCGTTTCAATTCCAAATGAATAAGAACGAAATAGAAATGAGCGAATTCGAAATGCATTTGGAGAATTTTTTTGTTTCCGCTCTAACTTGGTAATGATGACAAAATTTCTGCCTAATTAGTCCTAACCTGTTCAAGGCTCTGAGATAGTTGGGTCCGCTGAATTGAGAAAGCGAAAACACGAAAATAAAACGGGAGAAAACTGGGGAGTCTCCCCAACTATCTGAGAACCTGGAAGAGGGGGGCGTAAGGGGGGTCCGAAAACCGCAAAACCGCACAGAAATACGCCAAAAAACCGCAAACCGCATCGGGTTTTTTCCCGAATACCGAAACCGCGCGTACATGTAGGCCACAATATGAAAGCTGACGTCAGCAAGACTTATGATATATTCTGACTAGGAGTAATCGGAGCTTAGGAGAGTGCGTTCGATATGTTTGTTAGGCATACAGGTAGCAGTTGAGGCGAAAGGGTGGTTGCGACATCGATAAATATGATTATGGCATATTTTGAACGTATGAGGGTTGCGTACAGCGAAACCTCTATTTAAACTGTGTATCATAAGAACGTTTTCAAAAGATATCGTATGGTTCGGTGTCAAGTGCTTTAAATCGGAGGAAACATTGGCCAGAGTGCGTCGTAAATGGAACATTTTGTTTTACTGGCGCGAGTTACAGGGCGCAGTTACTCAAAGGCCGATTAGTGCTTAACCCGAGATTCTTTTTCTTTCTTCAAAAACATTTCTTCGGATAATTTTTTCTGTTATTTTTAAGAGCATCCAATCATCAACTTGTTGACAAAATGAATTGCATTGAATTTACTGTTTTAAAAGCTTTCACGTCTGAATTCAAACTGCACACTAACCCTGTCAAAGCCTTCAATGGTACGTGTGTGCGGCTCACGTCAATAACTTTTCCAGTAATTTGGTCCGGCGTGTTGATTTCAGTGACTCGAGAGTGGCGCTACTGTGGGCTGGTTTATAAGTTTTTCCTAATAAATAACATAGAGTTAAAGTGTTCGTTTGTCCGGTGCCGAAAATATCACAAGTCATGATCAAATGGCGCCGCCGAGCTTCACATCTCGGTAGATTTACTTTGTGACACAAGGGCTGCCGAGCTACGCAACTCGGGTAGATTTACTGTTTGACACAACGACCGCCAAGCTACACAACTCGGTAAATTTACTTTGTGGCATAACGGCCGCCGAACTTAACACGGTTT